TATTCGCCGAACTCCTACAGACGCCAAACATCCAGAACCTACGGAATTCAGAGGAGCATGCTTCGTATCTTACCTTACTCGAGATCTTCGCCTGGGGAACCTGGGAAGACTACAAGGGTGCGTTGATCATACCATAGCCATCAAGTTGTGTACTGACAGCGCAAAGCTCAAGCGAATCTCCCAAAACTTTCAGCACAGCAACACCAGAAGCTTTTACTGCTCTCGTTACTGCCGCTCTCACACTCACACGCCACCCTCACATACAAACATCTCATGACAGCGCTCGAGCTGCCCACCACCCGCGCTCTCGAGGAGCTCATCACCACCGCCATCTACTCCGGCCTCATCACCGCGACGCTCGACCCCGCGCATTCACTCGTCTCCGTAACATCCATCTCACCGCTCCGCGACCTCGCACCAGGATCCCTCCCCGCACTTCAAAACACCCTACAGTCATGGTCACAACGGTGCGACTCCGCTCTAGCAGATCTGGAGGTGCAAGTCGCAAAGGTCAAGAAAGAGGCCTTGGATCGAGAGAAGATGCGCCGGAAGAAGGAGAGGGCCTTCGAGGCAGTCATGACGGTCGGTGACGAGAAGAACACTGGCAAGCGGAATCTAATGGGTATGGGTGGTGACGACGCTATGGAGATTGATGAGGATAGTAGCGGCAGGATCACAAGGGGTACTAAGAGGGGCCCTGGAGGTTTCGGCTTCGGGAGCTCTGGAAGGCGTTAAGGCGACGGTGTGTGTAGTATCTCATAATACTGCAACACGTCACGTCTTCATAACCGTGGTCCACACTCCTCAAGGCCGTCTGGAATGGGAAAGTAATGTGGTCATAGTCGGTGATACCCGCGGAGGATTACAGGACTTCACGCAGGATGCAGCCTTGGGTCATGTCTAGCTACATTCGAAACTCCGACGAAGGAGACTTGATGGAAAAGCCATGAGCATCAGCAACCCCTCCATAGCTCCAGATAGGGATCGGAGCAACCATCACTCCTCAAGTGCAAGCATCAAGCACATAATGAAAAACAAGAACACCACAAACACCCATCTTTGAAAATCTGAACATGATGGATTATGACTATATGCCGTGCATGCCTCACTCCATGCCTCATTGCCCATCCAAAGCCTCCTCACCAATCTATAAAATGATAACAAGAACCATCCATTATCCTAACACAAAACAAGAAAAGCCCAGCAGAAATTCTGGGGTATCTCGCGAAATGCCCATCAAACGCCTGCCTTGTATGGAAGTAGCACAGAAAACGCCATGCAGTGCAGGAGAGGCAAAAGGCCAAAGCCAACAACAAGTACCATCCTTAAAGATGGGTATCCTACTACCACTGACAGTGTCTTCGTCCTGATCGTTCCCGTCGTCGTGTCCTTCGTAATCATGCCCTCCGTGGTTGTGGTGTGAGAAACACATCGGGAAACATAACAATAACCGCTGCTTCGACGCCCTCGTCGATCATCCATTGTATTTCCATCTCCGCCTCGGCCTGCGCATCCATTTCCATCTCCATCTGCATCCGTGCGTCTACGGACTCCTAAGCCGGAGCCGCATTCGGCTGAAACGTCTGCGGCACCGCCTCGCTGCCCTCTGCCTCAACGGTGCTCTGATGCAACTGCGCGATCTGGCCTGCCATCGTCCGCAGCGCCTCTCTCGTCGCGTCGATGTTGAGTTCGCCGCGCTCAGACGCTTCTTTGAGGTATTGTTCCCATTCTGGGTCCATGGGTATGTTTAGGGCGCCCGAGGACTCGCGCAGAGCGGCGGCGTGGAGGAGGCGTGCGTTTAGGGAGAAGCCGACGGAGGAGGAGAGTTCGTTGGATGTGGAGTCTGAGTCTGATTCCGAGTCTGACGCTTCTGCTGCGCCGTCTTCGTCGTCGTCGTCGTCTTCGGCTGAGGAAGATGAGTCGGGCATTTCTGTGTCGCCGCCGTTGTGGTGGTGGTTGGGCGGTTGCATGTTTTGCCGGGTGAGCGGGTTGTGCAGGAGGTGATTGTGGTGTTCTAGTTCTTCGATTTCGACTTCAATGTCCGTCTTGACGTTGATGCCTGCGCCGTTGTTGTGGCGTGATGAGTAGGCTCGGCGTGTGTCGACCCATTCCCCTATGTCTACGCCTGTCGTGTCGACTACGCGTACGCCTTCGTCTCGCTCATAGCGCTCTCGTGCCCAGAGTGTGCCTTCCCATCTGCAGAAGCCTTGGATTTCGGCTTCGGTTAGCCCGAGCCGGTCGAATGCGTCAAAGAGTCGCTTGTGGTGTGGGAAGCGGCCGAGGCGTTTTCGGTGTGGTTGGAAGGCGTAGTTTAGGCCTGGGTACCGCGCTTCGATTGTGTCGAGCGAGCCGTAGAAGTTTGCTGTTTCGATGCGCACTTCGCCGACGAGGTTTTTGGAGAGGTGCGCGCTGAAGGAGGGCGGGTCTGTGGGCGAGGGCGTGGGGAAGAGCGTGTTGTAGACGAGCACGCTGATGGGGTTTTTGCGGTGCATGGCTGCGGGTGTGTTAAGGCGAAGTTTGTTGGTAGGAAGTGTGCCGCCGTGCGAGAGGGAAGCGTGGATAGATGAGGTGTCGCCGTCGCTCGCAGATTGCGCGTTTGGGTGCTCGAGTGTGAAAGGACAAGGCGGAAAGTGGGTTGTCGCAGAATGTGACCGCCTCACCCGCACCTTCTCTAACTTCCTCCTTACTAAGGGGCCGGCCAGGTGTGTGTGCTGACCTCGGGCGTGACCGCTGTTTCCAAGGTTCCCACGTTCTGACGCCGCCTAGCTCTCCCACTAGCTATCAGACGCTCGTCGGAATGGTGCACACCGGGTACCTGACAGCTGACTCTGCTGTCTTGCGCGTCGAGGTTCCGAAAGTCCCGTGGATGGTAATTTGCAAAATCCCTGAATGCACAGAGGGAATCGCTCGAATCCTATGTCGACTGCGCTATCCTGCAGATCTTGCGGGCCAGAGGGGAGACCCCGGCTTTTGCTGCGAGATTGGTCGGGAAGGGTCGACGGCGTTTTGCGACGAGAATGCGGCACGGCGACGACGTGGGAAAACGGTGCAGCTAGCCGTCACCACACAACACAAGCTAGAGAAGTCTGAAAGGCGAGGCCGGCGAGGAGCAGGGGAAGAGTGAGCAAGATGGGATCAAAGGGGAGCAGGCGGGTATAAGACATGCACTGCACTCTACTCGTGTCAAGGCTCTCTGCCCTCACCGCCAGCACATGCACGATTATGGCTCGCCATTATTCTGGATCCTCACAGCTGGCCACAGATGTCGCAACAGGGACCAGACCCTGAAGGCCGCTATGCGAAGGCTCACACCGACGATCCCCAGTTTTTGCTCTTTCACCAGACTGACCTCGGCCACCCTATTGAACACTCTGCTCGCCACCTAGCACACCTGCTAAGCAGAAGCGTCGCTGCACCTGTCAAGCCTCGCCGACGGTACACACGAGAATCGCCGGCCTCTTCGCTGTCAAAGCATGCCTGGTGTAATCCCACCTGCGACGGCGGGTGAGTTGTAACCCAGCGCATGAGAGACCAATAGGTCCGCCCGCCCGCCGATTATCCGGGCCCGAGTATTCGACATGGATGCCGCGGGACGAAGCATGCACGAGGAACGACTGGTCCAGCTCTCTGTTCCACTGCCATGCCTACTGCAGGGTTACTCCAACTTGGCCCTTGCTATGCAGGCCAAGCCTGTGCGACTTGCTAGCATTTCCGTCGTCGCGCTCTTGCCGGCGACGACTTTCTTCCAGTGCGCCACGGAAGCGCATTTGCTATGCAGGGGTGGTGAAGGTGTGGTATTTCCTTTTTGCTGTTTGAGGGTGTACCATGGAGGGATTGTGGGCGAGATGATATGCCGAGAATCGGACCCCTGCCGTTCCGCCTCGATTGTATCTGGAGCCGATTGGGCAGCCGCCAGGATCACGTGGTTGCTGCTGACACATCGAGTCCGCGTACGCCGTGGCTGCCTCATTCCTTCTATTCTCGATCCACCACACCCAACGTTTCTGAGTTTTCCTCTGAACCCGTGACGAACAGCTGCCTGCAGCCCTACGGGTCCCAACCACGCCTCATCCGCACCCGTGACAGACTGCTGCCTGCGATCCCTCCGCCTATATAATCCGCCAAACTCTCAGCCTCTTTCTTCCTTCCTCATCCTAGTGCAGGGGTGATTTGCTTACCAGTGAAGATTCGTCTGAGGTAGCAATTTTGCTGATTTAAAACTACATATATTGACTGCTCTGGTTGGCCTTCTGGGTCTTCCAGGAATTTTTGGAACCCTCTTCGTTGGTCTCGGTAAGCTAGTCGCTGCTGGATTGAAGAAGGGGCCGGTGTTGTGCATCCTGCTCGGCTTATCTCAACGCTTTCCTGTACAACCCGAAGGTATTCGTACTGCATCGGGGATCTTGCAAGAGATTGGGGCGGAATATGCGAGTGCGACACCATGGGAGTGGCTTTTGACCTCCACACCATGTTCTGGGGGCTCAAATCTGACGACGGCACTGGTGTAGCTGGCACAAGGCTAACATCGCCGCAATGATGTCGCGTTGCATTGTGTGACGATGACTGAGTATAAGGCACGATTGGCTTTCCAGTACGATCTCAGTACTTCGAGCTATTAGTCTTTGTCAACTTTCCTCATCTTACTCTGTCCAACTTACGCGACAGACATGTCTATCTCTCAAAGTCCTGCGGCATCCGACCACTTGGACACCGACAGACGGCTTTCCTTCGATAGCTTTGCAATGGCTGACTTGGCGTCTCCTCAAAGCCAACCTCCCTCACACCACTCAGTTTCCCCAGTCTCATCAAGGACAGGATCGCCGCCTATAATCAACAGCTCGAACTCCATGTCAACTATTCAACTCCAACAGGGGTCCGCATCTCCTCCCTTGAAGCCACTGCCAAAGGGACGTTCACATTCCATGGGCTGGTGGTGGGAAGTGGCGGCCTTGCTACTGAGCACTGTGTGCATGGCACTCATCCTGGCCATCCTTTTCACCATGGACGGCAAGCCCATGAGGGACTGGAGACTCCCCATTCAACCGAATTCTCTGATAGCGGTGTTCTCCACTATTGCTAAATCGGCATTGTTAGTCCCTCTTGCCGAGTGCATCGGACAGCTGAAATGGATCTACTTCCAGACACCACAATCGAAGCCTGTCAATCGCCTCTATGATTTCGACGTAGCTACCCGTGGACCTTGGGGAGCTTTTACCTTTCTTTACAAGCTGCGATTGAGTAAGTCTGCTGCGCTTGCGTCTTTTGGAGCAGCCTTGACAATTCTTACGCTTGGCTTTGAGCCTTTCACACAGCAGGTCTTGAGAGTCTACTCCAAACCCGCGCTGCTAGTCAACACTACCGGGACTGTAAGCTCAAGCAATTCGTTCTCAGACGTGTCGAGCATAGAGAATGCTGATCTCATTGGTATGTCTTTGCGTGGATCACAAGTCGTGCGTCACTAATCATATGATAGGTATAGAGCATCCTCTGACCGTCGGGTTCACAGATCACGTCGCTTTGCAAGACATCAACTTGCTGAGCAATGTATACTGTCCGACAACAGAATGCAAACTTGATGAGTTCACCTCTCTAGGTCTTTGCGAATCCTGCAGCTCAGAAGACGTTATTTTCGATGGCGATTTCTGGAATGGCGGTAACTTCGCAGACGAAGACTTTCAGGGCTGCGGCAATTCCGTGGAATCTAGCTATAATGCCTCCAGTCAACACTTCTACTTCAACTATACTGCGATGACAGATTACGTTGCAGCCACGCAGCCTTATAGATGGGAGAGGATGTGCACTATCAAGAAGCCAGGGTATCCGGAATTGGTGCTCTGGATTACCGCGAGCCGCTACCTCAACGAGAGCTACCCCAGTGTTGGCGTTGTTGACACGGACCTTGCCGCATTTGGCGGCTATCAATTCGGTATCGTTCGCTTGGAACGCAGCAAGATTGATAGGACATACAGCCTCTTCTCTGCAATGAGTGGCAGCCCAGTGTGGTCTTTATCGATTGCGTATCCGCCACAGATTGAATACTGCATAGGAGACTTTGAAGGTTACCAGGATGTAATCACTGAGCCTTTTGAGTTACCGCTGCAGACTATTTCCGCATTCACTTGCTTCAAATCGTCGTCCAATCTCACTCGTGCCGGCGAAATCGATCGGCTCGGGCTGGTAAATGGGACGGTATCGCACTGCCAAATGAACTATTGTGCGAAGCGATATCACAATATCACAGTACGAAACACAGTCGTAAACTACGACTCGGTGGAGGAATGGCCACTGATCCCGACTGGCGACGACCCTTATATGGTGACAAGTGGATACGATCAAGCATTCCGTGCAGAAGGTCTGAACGAGACTTTCTACCTCGGCAACTCCTCACGCCTCTGGCTCGCTGCTTCCACTTCGCGCATCCTCAAATCCACGACGCTGAGCACGTACCTCTTGGAGTACTTCCTCGATCACACTTGGTCCTACTTCTTTCGCGGCTTTGCAGAAGTAGGAAGCAAAGTAATCCAAGGCCCCGGCAATTTCGCAGCTATCAATAACACCAGTGAAGCTTACGGACCGGAGATCTTCGTCGACGTGAGATGGGCCTGGCTTGCGTATCCGCTGGCGCTTCTCGTTTACTCTACGTTATTCCTGCTTCTGACGGCGCTGGGTAGCAGAAGGCGTTCCTATCTCTTCAAGAACTCGATCTTGGCTGTGCTCGTTCACGGTTTGGAAGGCTGGGACGCGGCGGATTGTCCTGACCTGCTTACCGTAGCGAAGGAGAGGAATAGTGACCTGAAACGAGCTCTGGGACCGGCGAAAGTGTCTCTCGCTGAGAATGGCGACGGTTTACTGAAGCTCAAGCGTGACTGATTCTCTCACTCAACGACGAGACTAATACGGCAGGCGCGTCTCGAGGTCGCTCTCACCTTCACTTTGGTTCCCACCTCGCGCTAGCCCCGCGCTTGGACCGTTGTTTGCCTAAAACTGCAGTACCACCCAGCGTCAACTTCCTTCTGCACTCTTCTCCCGACGTCAATTGCCTGCGACGGCATCTCCACTTGCCGCGCTTCCTCGACGGCGGACCCAAGATGGCGACTCATACCGTCATCGAGATCCCCAAAACGACCTCTGCAGCTGCCGATCCGCGAGCGCCCAGCATCGTCACGACTTTACCGCCTGAGATCCGCAACCGTATCTATGAACATCTATTTGCAAAAGATGGACCCGTCCTCCTAGACGACGGCAACCCGCAAATGGAACTTTTGTCTAGGGATCACGTCACTCAATCTGTGCATGGCAATATTGAGCAACAGCTTAGGGAATATAAGCCTTGCCATGTCTTTGGTGATTGCATCGGGCTTCTACTGTCGTGCAGGCAAGTCTACCATGAAGCAGTCGGTATCCTCTACGGCCATAACACTTTCTTGTTCTCTCGGTTCCTGGTCAGACAGATGCACTTTACCTGCAAATGGCTGTCAAATATTGGGTCACATTACCAGCTCCTATCCCACGTTCACATCGACGCAGATGCGCTTGTCACAAAACTCACCAGAGCATACGATCTATTACCGCTGTTGAAGCTCATTTGGTTTCGTCCTCAGGCCAAATGCAAAATCTCCTTTGTGCTTTCCGGAAGGTCGTTATCCAAGAAGCTGCCTTACAACCGCGGTCTGTACGATCTACCCCCTTCCATGGAACTTATGAATGGTGTTCTCTTCGCGTTAGGCACTGCAGACGCTCTCAGTCTCAGGCAGTACGCCAGATACTCTGGCCTGATTTCATCGATCAGGATCTGGTACAACGACCACGGTTATACTGGGTTCGTGCAGTACACTGGTTCTGACAGCTCACGTCGCTTTCCGCATCCAGTCAAACATTTCGAGATCTTGGACTATGGTACCAAGGTTCAGTGGGAGAGACCTCAACAGTCGAGCCTCCTGTCCTTGCCTGACGTATTCTTGTCGGCCATCAATACGTACGCAAGCGCATCCGATACAGGGGTTGTGTTCGATCTGGACATCAAGAAAGCCTGGGGGTACCACGTAGGTCTCAGCGGCGTTAATCGCTTCCTGAGATGCGACATCGACCGAATGGTTACGCGAGTGTACGACGATATTACCATCCGCATGTCTACTCGGGAAGCTATGACCGACTTTGGTGACTTCAAAGCACTACAAGAGCTGATGGACATTGAAACCTTTCAGGACCTGCTCAATCCCTACGAGTGCAGAGAGGAGGCACGCTCCATCGAGATGGTTCTGATGTTCAAGCTCTTTACACAAACTCCCACCGCGGACCTCCGTATAAACATCAACAACCTTTTGAAAATATACGAACGCGACCATGAAGATCTTAGCATTATCATCCAAGAGTCCGATAGCAGCACGAGTGGCACACGGTCAATCATATGGCAATATATTCAGGGTGCGGTATTCCTCTTACTATCAGATGTATTGAAGCAGTATCCTTCGCAAGCCAGTCAGCCTCTTCCACATATCTGGATCAATGGTCACGGTACCGTTTTGAGCGCCACATACCCCGCCACGGCCACCTCTAAGGAGACGTCCATTCCTTGTTCGTACCCCATCGACGATCCGGTCGGGAACTTATTGCAAGGCTATCGCAAGCTTAAACATCTTCATCAGCAAGGTGGGGAATTGAAGAGAATTGTGGCTGCTCACCGACCGGGCCCTGGTTTGGATAGCAGTAGCCTGGTAGGTATGTGGTACTCCTTACGGTGGTTATTTGGCGTCGATCACATCGTAGACGCAGATGCATGCTACTGAGGATTACCTGAAAGCAGCCGATACGAGTAGCAGAGACAGACAAAAGTGGAAAGCAAGGTCTGGAGGCACCCGACAAAGGCGACTTAACGCTGTGCTCTAGTTGATGCTCGCACGCCAACCTAGGAAAAAACTAAACAGTCTAGAGCCTACATTAGCGCTAAGTCACCGCCTTTGCAAGGTTTTGGCTTAAAGTAGCCTGCAGACCTGTTTAGTTTTGTTTTGTATGGGGTGCTCGCGGCCAGTTTGTGGCATTGACGTCTCAAAAGTGGGGTTTGAAAGATATGGAAGACGTTTCAGATTACCAGTAAGACACATTGCATGTGCAAAAGGTGATCAGAAGCATGGCACATGGCTGAAATGGAAAGGGCAAAACAACAATTCACTCAGAAAGTACATGGTGATTTCATTCCAATCCATTATACCAATTCTACATCCCCCCTAGCAGTTCCTCGAGCATCCAAACGGAAACGGAAGAACCGCCGGACTCTTATACCCTCCCTTCCCCACACTCCTCACTCCAAAAATAACATTATCCTTATGGATCGTCGCCGAAGTGAGATTAAACCAATTCACATCCCCCACCTCAATAACATTCGTCCAATGCGGCTCAATCGTATCACGATACAGAATCTCGTACCCCTCAACCGGCAGCCCCTTCGGCGCATCCCACTTGAACTGACTAAAGTTATCGGACGTCGTAGTGTTGATACCAACATTCGTTGGCTCACCCGGTGCGTTGGCTAGACTCCACATGGTGGATGCAACGACCTTGGCGGCGCGCGTGTTGTACTCAAAGTCTAGCCATTCGACTAGATCGCCGTATTGCTTTCCATTCCGCACGGTGACGTTTTGGTGCTGTTGCGTATAGTCCTCGTTGGGCTGGACGAAGCGAACGCCTGTGTAGCCTGCTTCGAGGAAGGGGCGGTGGTCGCCACCTCTGCTGTATCTGTCGAGGCGGTAGATAAGGCGTACTGTCATTTCCGTGAAGGCATTCGATGCGACTTCGTAGATGAAGCGACCCATATTACGAGCGGGACTGTCGTTGTCGCCGCCGATGCTAAGACGCGATGTCATCTTCGTGGAGTTCTCAGTCAGAGGCGTGCCCTGGCAGAAGAGGCGGATGTTGTAGGGATCGATGGTGCCATCAGAGGCTTTGGAATTGCCGACCATGTCGAGGTTTATCATGCCTGCTACATTTACGGATGCATTCTTGTAGGTTTGGGCTAGGTTCTCGGCGCCGAGGAGACCTTGTTCTTCGCCGGCGAAGGCTGTGAAGACGATGGTTGTCTTGGGCTTGTAGTGTGCGAAGATACGGGCGAGTTCGAGAGAGACTGCGACGCCTGAGGCGTCGTCTACGGCGCCGGGTGCGTCGCCTTGGTAGTCGATGGGGTCGCTGTTGCGCGAGTCATAATGCCCGCCTGTTACGTAGAGGCGATCGGGGTCCTCGCTGCCTTTTAGTGTTGCGACGACGGTTGTGATGTTTACTGGGAAGATGATGCGCTCATTGTCTCCGGGGTGTTTGATGAAGCTGTTCCAGTCTACGGTCATCCTTCCCTCGCTCTCATCGGCTGCCTCTTGGAACTTAGCCGTGAGCCATGTTCTCGCAGCGCCGATGCCTCGGTTCGGGTCAGTTTGACTTGACAGGGTGTGACGCGTGCCGAATGATGCCAGCTTCCGGATCGTAGCCTCGATGTTGTCGCGCGATATTTGCGAAATGATGTCCTGAAGGTCTTCATCCGGCATCTGTTGCTCTAGCGCCTTGCCAACGACTGGTAACGGCCATTGTTCCGCACTCGGGAATGACTGGTGAGGATGATGTGCGTGGATAGGTGACGAGAAAGCCGTCTGCAGCAGTGTTGCCGCGCAGACCGCGAGGATGGACGTAGACCGCATATTGATCGATCTAGAGAACTGGCCTTGACGATACAAGAGATCTTACCAAAACATTTTGTTCCTACATTTTATACTCCACCATTTTCGCCATCCCACTCTTCGCGACAGGCTGTCGACTGCCGGTATCTCCAACATCTCGCGATACCGCAGTGACTGCCGTCATCGGAGAAATGCAACTCTTGCTATCATGGCTTTCGCGAGCGCCGATCTGTATCGTAAGTGGAAGCTCGTAATGCTACCAAGACGCCAGAAGGAGAATTAGGGAAGATTTCAACAGCTTTGCTGCATGCTCAGCTTGGCAACGGGTACCGTGGTGCGGGGTTCTCCATTGAGCTTCCGACCATTTGCGACGATATGCGATAACATCGGTCGTCTTCCGAAGGAAAGACCATTAGTAAAGCGACTGCGGCCTCGCGACGCTTTCCATTCTTCTGGCTGTCTGGTCGCGAGGGCAGTGCTGGCGTTAGTTACCTTCGAGGTGGCTGGGAGCCAGGGGCCTCGATCACGCAGTTTGTGTCGCGCTTTGCGAACCACATCTGCATCGATTGTGCAGTATTTTCAAAACCGCTACAAATGTCGTGATTGAAGTCTGGTGAGCACATCGGCTTGGTCAGTCGAAATCGAAGGGAGAACATCTGAACAAGATAGCAAAGATGGCGCTAACCCCAAAGCTTGGCGTGACATCATCGCATTGACTGGGAACCTTGGAAGCCACCAAATTACAACAATGCGACTCGATGACAGTGACATTCCATGAACACAAGTATCTGTCAGCAGAGGTTGTGATTATACACTCACGATATGCAGCAGCGGCTGCTTCCCGGCGCTGCATCGAAGATTTCTCACTGATCGACGCCTCGTAGCGCCGCAACAAGCTTGACAAGCCTCGGCTGCACGAATCGTATCGTCGATGGTTCTCACGTTGCGCAGCATCGGCTGTGGAAATGTTCTCTATTCGTCCTGGAACCCCATGTCTTCCCCACGTGTTTCGAGATATCCGGTGGTACCTGGGGTTCATGAACGTGCTAACTCCAAAGAAGAAGGTAACAAGACTGGCAGCAACACCAAACACGGAGTGAAAAGCCAAACTAGGAGTACACAATAAAGGCCCGATGCATCACAATGCATGTCATTTAAAGCGTCGGACAGGAACTAGGCAATCACTGGTCAACGTGAACGGATCAGGTGTAATCATTGGGCGTCGACGGCGGTAAACAAGAACAGTCCAACTTAACGAAGCGGAGGAGGAAATTGAACTGGTAGAAATAGGCATGTAGGTAAGGTCTGATGACATGGCTTGCCAATGTGCTTGCAAGAGACGATGCAGTAGCGCAGGAGATAGTACTGAAGTGGTTATGGCCACACTCGCTGTGCTTTAGTAGGACGATGGCTCAGAATACAAAAGGTCAAACCGTCCACCTACTCTTAGTGGATCATCGCTACCAGCCTCTTCAGACTTCCTTCGTTACAAATCGGCCACTTTCGACAATCGCTCAACATGAAGACTTGCGCTCGCTCCCTTCTTGCCCTTGCGGCTATTCTCACCACTGCGCTCGCTGCGCCAATGCCTGCGAGCGGGGTGAGCTTCCCCATCACTGACCTCCTCGACAAAGACCTCACTGTCGAGGAGTACGCGGCACAGCTTGAGAACCAGGACGTTGAAACACGTGACCTTACCAAGCGCCAGTTCAGCGGCGACACTTACAACCAACTGACTGACGGTACCGCCTGCCGTCGCGTAACTGTCATCTACGCTCGTGGTACTACCCAAGGCAAGATATCTCTATTAATCGTAGGCGAGTTGTACACTGATACCCTTTCTAGCGGGTAATGTAGGCGAGGCCAACTCCGAAGGCCCAACCTTCTTCAACGCTCTGGCTGCACGTGTCGGAGGTGCCAGCAACTTGGCCATCCAAGGCGTTACCTACCCGGCTAACGTCATTGGCTTCTTGGCTGGAGGCGACGCCGCGGGTGCCACCACTATGTTCAACTTGATCAACCAAGTAAGTGTCATTATGACTATCGATATATCAGTCCGATGCTGACTGTGCACCTAGGCCATTACCCGATGCCCTTCAACCAAGATCGTCGTCTCCGGATACTCCCAGGGCGCACAACTCGTGCACACTGCTACACAGAGGCTATCAGCTTCCGCCGCCTCGCGTGTCACCGCCGTTGTAACATTCGGCGATGCTGACCGTGACGAGTCCTTCGGCTCTGTTGCTGCTAGCAAGGTTCTCATCATCTGCCATGCTGGTGACAACATCTGCGACAACGGCATCATCATCACCCCTGAGCACAGGAACTACGAGATCGATGCTCCAACTGCTGCCGCTTTCGTCGCCGCACGCGTTTGAGTTCGAAACTGAGGGTGGCTGGAAGTACGATCATATATGATAAGTTTAATGGTTACGAAAAATTTACGCTGGGCTACTTTTTGCACGATTGTTCCCTGACCTTGACTCCCTTCTCTTTTCAGTGCATGGGAACTACTTTCGAATGTTGCCAAAGCAACGGTCTATGTGCAAAGAAATCATCTAGTCTCCGTCGAGGAGCAGTAACAGCGGTGAAGAGACGTTCGGATTGCAAGGGCTGGAGAGAGTTGAGTATCAGCAACAGTATGCGTAATCGATGGGCAATCGTGGACTTTAGAAGGCAAGGTGCCCGACACGTTGTCGTCGTGGTCCTTGTTCTCCCCGTTTCGCCATCCGCGGGTGTCAAATCCTCTGCGGCCTTCAGACACCCCCAACATAACGTGCTTTCCGCATCTCATGTCGAAATGGCGCATCCATTGCAACCTTTCGCGTAAGATGCCCATCAAACCGACGGAAACCGCACCATACTTGGCAAGCCACAGGAAAACTCGAGTGAAGTCATAACCAAAAGGGTCCGACCCGTGGACGCTTGGGTCGCAAGCCGCCACGCGCGAGTCATTTAGCGCAGATGTCGTGCTCGCCCCATAGAAAACACCAAACGTCTCGATCGCGGTGATTGCCTCAACGTCCATCACTAAGGAGAGAAAAATTGGATACCAAGCTCGCCAAGCATCGCGGTGTCGTCCGAACTCTTAAGATATGTAGTCTCCACGTTTGACTGAGGTTTTTCACCTCATCCCGACATCTTTCTCTCCATCTTTCGCCTCCGCATCGCCATGTCGTCCGCCTCCTTGTCTGAGCCTTCGGGCTCCATCAAGGGTTCTGGACCCTTCTTCCGCTCGGTGCCTTTCCAGATCCTGGTCGCATGTGGTGTCTCGTTCACGGCTCCGGGAATGTGGGATGCGCTTGGTGGACTAGGAGCTGGAGGTGCCGCTGAACCGTACGCCGTCTCTGCCGCCAACGCCCTGGTATACGGACTCTTCGCTGTGGTCTGTGTCGCTGCCGGAGCTATCAACAACCGTATCGGATTGACGTATGGTCTTGCATTGGGTGCTATTGGGTACCCTTTGTATGGTGCTGGTCTCTACACCAACAACATCTCTGCGAACACATGGTTCATGCTCTTCGGTAGCGCGCTTTGTGGTATCTCCGCTGGTTTCTTCTGGGCTGCCGAGGCTGCTATCATCATTGGATACCCATCACCTGGAGACCGCGCTTTCTACCTTGCCATTTGGCAGACCGCGAAGGCACTTGGACCGATTGTTGGAGGATCCATCAACCTGGGACTAAACGCGAACCGCAAGACCACTGGATCGGTCTCATCAACGACCTACATCGTGTTTATCGTCATTATGTGCCTTGGCCTTCCGGTAGCCCTGTGCTTGTCGCCAGCGCACAAGGTCTGGCGAAAGGATGGCACGAGGATCGTCACTGAGCGCGCCGCAACCTGGGGTGCCGAATTCAAGGCCGTCGGAAAGCTGTTCGTCAGCCGCCGTATCTTGCTCCTGCTGCCAGCTTTCTTCATCAGCTACTTCTACAACGGCTTCATGAGCACCTGGTTGACGACATACTTCACGGTCCGAGCCCGCGCTTTCTCCTCCTTCTTCACCAACTTTGCCGGTATCTTCTCCTCGTTCATCATCGCCTTCCTACTCGACAACCAGAAGATCCACATCAAGAAGCGCGGTCGCATTGCATTCTGCACCATCATCACCATCCTTGTCGGCACTTGGATCTGGGCAACAATCCTTCAGAAGCAAAACTACGATGCGTCGGAATCCCCGGTGTTCGATTGGTTCCAAGGCGGCTTCGGAAAGAGCTACGCGCTCGTTTTCTTCTGGCAATTCGGCGGTCAGGCCTTCCAGCAATTCCTTTACTGGCTAGTGGGCCAGTATGCGACCGATCTTTCCAACTTGAGCCATCTTACTGGTATCCTGCGTGGTGTAGAGGCCTTGGGTCAAACTGTCGCTTGGGCGTAAGTATTGCCATTCTTGAAACGCATTCGGAACTCATCAACTAACAACTGCAACAGCATGCAATCAGAAGGTGGTGCAAACCACTTCGTCAGTATTGGTATCAACTTTGGCATCACGGTGCTGTGCGTCTTCCCTACCTGGATCGTGCTATCGGAACTGGAGGGCAGCCACGAGGTTCGCGTCACGGAGGATATAGTCCCGAACAAGTCTCACGACGACACAGCTTGAGATGTGCCAAGGCACTTCGAGTTATAATACATTTCTTGCATTCTCACAACCATCGCACGACTACTTCGTATCTCTCTGCCGCTTTCACTAATCTTTCTCGCGCACACCCTAGCTATCCTTCAGACATCATGTGCACGTATGCAGCTCACCAATACTCACCAAACCGAAGATCCGAATTCTCACGCACTTCAACTTCTACGACTTCAAAGCGGCCATTCATCCATACGGCTGAACAGGGTCTCCTCATAGATAATTCCCTGTGGCGTTCGCCGGCATCCGCAAGTGCGGTTAGCACCAACGTGCGACACATCCACAGATTCATGGTCTCTTCAGCACGAGGTATGCCTTCCTCTCCAGCAATCGAAACGGTGATTTGTGCGTAGCCCATTAGACCTCCGGTGATTTGCAACAGCTTGACGATGTTCAAGCGAACGTCTTCTAATGGAACCGCTGCGGGTATATCAAATTCCAGAAGAAACCTTGCACGCCATGTCTGAAATGGGTTGCCGTAAGGCACCAGCGGTGAATAGCCGTGTTCAGGCATAAGGTGCTCGAGCTTGCCGAACCCGTCGAAGTCTGTGCGTGGCTGCCTAGTGCTCATTTTGAAAGTATGATGCTTGTTGCCCCAGATCGCTCCGTAGTATTGAAAACGGATAGCTTGACAAATCGCGCCGGTGATAAGCGAACCTCCAGTTAGTGTCTTTTTATCCAAGTCCCAAATCATGTCAAGGTCTTTGCTGCGGTGATTGCCATTGTCAATGAAGCTGACCTTGTCCAAAATGGTTTTTCGAAGAGGCGACGGTAAGTTCATGAGAGTGAGCGACTTCGTTTCCGGCCTTACCCACGTAAGCTTCTTGCCCCCGTCAGATATGTTGATCCGTAATTTCACCCAATCTTCCACACATACGTTCGGCGTGTGGAACATCACATGGGCTTGAGTACAGTCTCTCTCAATGTACACCTCTGAGATTTGTCTTCCATACTTCCTCAAGCCAAGGGGATCTTCTCGGAAGGTTTGTGCCGTCGTGTTGAGAAGATCGAGTTGAATGCCTATGTCGACCTGGCCAGAACTGTTCGAAACATGGAGATCGTAAAAAGGAGCGCATTTGTCGTGCACAAACTCCACCCGGAGATCTGGTGTATGTTCCATCTCAGTAATGAGATTCCATATCTCTATTGTATGCTCATACTCGTCAACTCGTCGTCCGAGGTAGTTTCTCGGTTGTACTCCATGAATTTGGCATGGAACTGGACAGGTTGTATCCAAGTCGAGGAGAACTGCTCTGACCATTGTCTTACGAGAGCCAAACCCTTGGAGCATGCACGCCGCGTCTCTGGCTTCTTCTATTGCTCCTTTTTCTAGACACCAATGGCTCATAGAAGCCGCATCCCTGGAGACAATCCATATGTTGTTGGAGAAGAGAGTTGTAGCAGCTTCTTGGTAGATCTGCCGGCACGTAGATAGCATAGGAAGGAAGGCTGCTATGTCTCTTCCCAGTTCCTTGTCTTCGAAGGTACAACGCTGGTCGAACACCATTCGTATTCCATCTGGTACATGAAAGAGAACATCGTATACGGCATTCCGAACCTCGGCAGGAAACGTGGTAAGGAATGAGGGTGCTGCCAGATCGTATGGTGTCGAATTACCCTCGGCGATAGGCGGGAAAGAAGGTTTCTTACCGAGCTCAATGGAAGAATCATCATCGGACATGGTTGGTATTGTTGGGTTGTGAAGTCCTCGATAGAGACTATAGGTAGACGCGCGTCAGCTAGAAGTAACGGAGGATAAGGCGAATGTAAAGTAGGAAGGAAGGTGATGTGAGCAACCCTTATTTATCGATCTTCAGCGTGGCTAGTACTTCAATGGAGCAGTTGCGTTGTTGGTGACCGCAGCAATCAAGCTGATCTGTTTGCAAGGAAAGACAGCATACCCTCCGATTGAATTGACTGAGCTACGGGAAACACCATTCCATGTTCGAAGTTGGGACTATGTATTGTCATTGCTAATCGGAGCTCTACACTCAAATCAAGCATACACTTTCCACCATACGGTCAAATTCTCCAACGTTGCAACACAGCAAGCCGTGATACGACTGCGCTGTCGCATCTCGTGGTCTCGTGCGATGGCGCGCGCATAGTATTCGCCTCGCCAACGGAAGCTCCCCATTCAACGATCATCCACTGCAAACAAAATCTAAACACATCAGTCAGCCTCTCTCTTCACAACAAGGTCAAACAAAAGAACTTACATCTCCCCGCCCAATACGCCGCATCCTCATCCCCCACCACCACCAACCACTGCAGATACCCCAAATAACACCCTAACGTGCCATCAAACAGGCGGCCTGCGTGCGTCGTAAAATCCCCATCTTCTACATTTCCACCATACTTCTTGCGAAAATCTCGATTGATGACAATCACATCTTCACCACCATCTCCACGCGACACATTCCGCTGTATGGTCTCCGATGGATTGATGGATTTGCCGCCTGGCCCTTCAACGCACACGATACGCCCGTAGCCGTTGACCCAGATGTTGGGGCAGCGCTTAGTGTCTGGACGGGTGCGTTTGTACGTTTGTTGGAAGTCGGTCAGGGCGATGAGAGCGCATGTGCGGAGGTGGGCCAGCGAGACAGACGCCTTATCGTTTGTATCGCCGATCTGGAAGGTAATTTTCCTGTCGCGGCTATCGAGGTACGATGTCACGCGTAGGAAGTCGAGTATATTGATACGCAAATCATCGAGTTTGGGTGCGGGCGAAACGTTGAACTGAAGTAGAAACTCCAGGTCGCGGATTCCTTTACGTCTGTTGCTCATTCTCCAGGGCTCACGTGGAGTAGACGCTGTGCAGCAGAAGATGCGTAGTTTGTCGAAGTGGCCGAAGTCTGTTTCAACGTTTGTACTCCGCATCTTGACTGAGATCATATTGGCGAGCCAGAAGCGATAGTAGCACTCCGATCGCAGATGTTGCGATACCGATTCCAGCACTGGAGTTGCGCCTACTGTGATCTTTTGGTCCAGATCGATGGTGACTGTACTTCGCCAGGGGTCAAGAAACCCTTTAGCAAGACAAAGCGATTCGAACAGTCGGATCTTCAGATGCTGTGGTAGGTTCATCAATCCGGGAGTGTCGGCGGGTTGAAGTGACAGTGTTGTGCCGCCGTTCGTGATGGAGAACTTCCGCTCAACGTAGGTCCTCTCAACGTGGGGACGATTGTGTGACGGCTTATAGTAGTTGTAGTCGAACAGGATATATCCTTCTAGACCATCTCTTCGGATGAAAACATCGTGCACCTGACGTCCGCAGTTCTTCAGACCGAGATCGCCGCGTCGGAGAGCTATGAGCGCGTTTGTGATGGCACTAGTGTCAAAGACTGGATGTGTCTTGTTACCTCTGTTCTCCGGATGTGTCTGGCTGAACATGGGATTAAAATCATTGTTATTCCGGTACTTGTAGTTTTTGCCAGCTCCCTTGGGGCTGACAATCTTGATCGCACGGATCGCATTAGGCGTTGCCCAGAGACACTTCAGCAGATTGCCTAATTTGACAGCCTCAGCCACATCAGTTGTATCCTTGCTGGAGTCAATTTTTAGGCGCCATTTGAGTTGGTCACCGCCATTGTCGGTGTTTTCAGCCAAGTTGAGAATAACCTTATGTACCATGGTCGCACTAGATCCGAGCATAGTCAACCAAGTTGCGAGGTCGTCTGCTTGTGTAACTCGGTACCCGGACTTGTCATACGAAGCCCTTGAGATAACCCAGGTGTTACTCGACAGGAATAAGGACGTGGCCTCGTGGTAGACTTGCCGGCACGTGATAAGCAGCTTTAGCGCATGTGCGTGTCCGGTGTGTATCGGACGAGTATCGGCGGAAGCAAACCTCTGGTCTCGGACAAGCTGATGTATTTCGATCTCGCCGTGGGCCGGAAGTAGATAGCTATAGATCTTGTTCCGGATCTCTCCAGGTAAAGAGAAGAGAGTTTTCGCACCAGCCACAGCGGGGATGGCTGGGGTTTTCGGTATAGGTTCCGTTCGCGGGAGTGTTGCCATAGCTGTTGAGTTCGGGTGGGTTGAAGGGAGTGAGGGTCGGGTTTAGAATGTTTTGCTGTACGGGTCATTATATACAACGAAGGAAGAAGGTCAGCGTCTGTGCAACAGTATCGTTAGTGCCTCCTGACATCGTTTTCACTTTGCTTACATGAAGTGAATCCCTTTTCTCATCACTATACTTGGGGCTGGGGTAACAGCCGAATACCTGGTATTTGTGAAAGACTGCTTGCCTGGAGCCATCGCACTCGTTTCCTCCACAAACAGGCTGTGAACCGGTGAGCCCCACCTTCCAATTCACCCTTGCCGCGCTACTAGCTTGTACCCGCGACATCCCAACCTACCCTACGCATCCGGAATCTGGAAAACTACAGCAGTCAGCATACCCCCTCATTACTAAAAACCCCAAAATAACTCACAGGCATCAGACCAGTACCTCGGACTCACACCAAACCCACATCGCTGAAGCCAGCCGATATAAAAGCGTGCAGAGCCGTCGAAAGCCTCGGCAGGCGGGGTATAGCCATCCACATCGTGCCAGTAAGTATGCCCTTTGAGTGGAAGACCGTATTCTCGGAAGATGGTACGGCGATGTGTGCTCCAGGGTGTGTACTTTTGTATGTACGCTTGAGGATCCATCGTCGTGTCTGCGCTCTCGATTTCAACAACTTTGCCGAGACCATTGAGCCAGATGTTGGGGCAGGGCCTGTGATTGGCATCTGGATGCTTGCGGATGAACTCTGTTAGAGCTATTAGGACGTACCAGCGTAGTTCCTCGAAGGATGTGGAGGTATTCGATGGGGCGACGTCCTGGCCGCGTGTCGCAGATATAGTAAGATTTCCTGTCTTGTTTCCTATAGTAGAAGTGATGCGAAGAAAATCGGTGATGTTGATACGGAGATTCTCTGGAGTAGTCGCCGCTTCTACTTCAAGCAAACAGTCGAAGTGTTGAAGTGTATGTATTTCCCTGCCGCGCCAAGGAAACTGTGCCGATCTGCCAATACACCAAAATTTCTCTAGTTTGCGAAACTCGTCAAAGTTGGTACGTTTGTCCTTGGAAGCCATTTTGACTATCCACTTGTTGGTTGACTGGAGTTGACTGAAGCTCTCCCCTCTAAGTTTCCGACACACGGAAGCCAGAACCAGGTCCCCGTCCTCACATGTCCCCTTCTCCAAGTCGAAGGTTATGGTCTTTCCGCGTTGTGTGACGTGCTTGATTATCTCGCTTCTGATATTTTCTGGCAGTTTCAGTATGTGATCCAATTTAGAGGCAGGAATGAGAGTTATTGCGTCACCGTTTTCGGAAACGCGGAAATACTGCTTATGAGTCGGGTCCATGAACGAGCGACCAAAGAAGATACCCCCTGTTCTGCCATCCCTATCAATAAGGATTTCGTGTACTGCATCGCCGTATTTGAGAAAGCCGAGAGGATCCTGGACTAGAAGTCGGAGTACGTTGTTCAGACGAAAGAGGTCGAGGCCGGAAGTAGCTAGAGGGGTTGTCATGCAACGTGCTGGATGGTTGAATGGAGTGCCAAACATAATCTCCACGTCGATAGCGTTGTTGGAAGGCTTGTGGAGTTCTCTCACCAAGTCTTTGAACCTAATGCTAGTGGCTATAGCGAGGTATGGGTCCTGGATATCACGAGAAATATGAAGGTCTTGACACGTAGGAGAACATGTTCCCACCATATCGATTTCCAATTTTTTTAGCAATCCGGATTGAGAACCGAGCGCGCTCAAGAAGATCGCTGCGTCTTGTAAAAGTGTGACAAGCTGGGATCTAGATGTATAACGTTTCAATGCAACGGTCCAGGTGTTACTCTTCAGAAACGTGGTGACGGCTTCGTGATAGACCTGTCGACATGTTGAGAGTAAGGGCTTCCCTTCGAGGAACTGTGCACGTGTGCTTTGTATACCTTCGATATGGCAACCATCTTTTACGAAGGATACGTGATCCTCGTCCGTATTCTTTAGTCTTATACTCGTCGAAAATGCCAACTCTGCGGCGGGCGGCGGGTACCAACGCCTGAAATTACAGTCGTGCAGTTGATGCGCCTGACTGTCTACGGCACCTTTCGTGAAGAGGATTCCATATATCTGGTTTCGGATTTCGGCTGGTACATCGAGGAAGGAAAGGATATCCGGGTTGGCTTTCGTGGAGTTGCCTTTTGCGATCGGCATCGGCGTGTTGTTCGGCGCCATGTTGTTGGCTCGAGTAAGAGAGTTGAGTGCTGAAAGGTGCGGTAAGTGTTTGAGATCGAAAAGCTGGTTCATATACAGAAGCAATGAACGGAGACCTTTTGAATGTCTGGGCACCAGGCACATTCCGTAGTGGCGATGTGAGCTCAAAGTCGTAGCGTTCCGGAGCTAGTCGGGAACGTATCGAAGCTCTCCTCGGGTCAGTGCACTACATGTGTTTGGTCAACCAGGCTGCCGCATTTTCTTTCTCTCCTTGTGCATATCAATACCAGCCCCACCAGCTCCGGTCTTGCGCACTCCCCAACTCACGCTCAACCATCCAAGATGCCAACCCAATTCATCGATATCCCGCGTACGAAAGCCAGCAAAGCCCACAGCGGCGGCTCAATTCTCGAACTACCAGGCGAGATCCGCACTATGATATACGTCCATCTCTTTGAGCACTACGAAAGCATTCGGTTCGAGTATTCCGAGGACCAAGAAAAAGTGATGAGCGAGTATACCCACGACGAAGAGGACATACCAATTTCATGCGCACCAGTCAAGTCGGATGCGTTCACCAGTATCCGCGGCGGTATCAACTTGCTGCTCAGCTGTCGCCAGATCTACGACGAGGCCGCGAGTGTCTTGTACAGCAACAACACTTTCGTCTTTGGCAAGGCACCGACCGACTGTGTACCAGATTATAAGCGCCTTCAGTCGGCTACAAAAGATCTCAGACAGATCCAGTCGGCTGCGAACTGGTGTCTAGGGTCTCAGATGCAGTATGTCCGACAGGTCAAAATTGATGTCGCCAATGGATGTTGCAAGGGCACCTGCCTCATGCATAACTTATGGCACCAGAGTACCAACATTACTCCACTCGTAAAGGCGATGTGGTCACCCTCAGCTGCGAAATGTCACTTCGAATTCGTTAGCTCGAACGCGTGGTCTGAAGATGGCCACAGCCAGTCACACTTTGACATCGAGGCCGCGAACACAACACTCGAATACCTTCGCGCAGATACCGTCGCCTTCGAAAGGTACTCCCGACAGGTTGTTGCGGTGATGACTGCGCCAGCAATGTTGACTCCGGAGGACAAGCCAAAGGGTTTTGCGTACATTGTGCTTGGACAAAGCGGTAGTCATCAGGACACGCGACAATACCTCCTGCTGCACCCTGGCAAGAAGACAGGCAAGCTTCGCGCCACAATGCGATCGCCAGCGCCACATCTGATGGGTTTGCCTTATAGTGTACGGGAGCGGATTGGTTCATACGTCCTGGATCACCAGGAGGCTGCGAACTTGATGTTGTTAATGGATCGCATGAGGGGTTTCTATCTGGGGATCTTTCCTATCAAGAGTTCCTTCGACACCAATATGTTATGGTGGTAGCGTGTGGTTGTTAAGATGGCATTTGCTGGACGATTACCTACACTCAATAACTTTCATTGTTCCATTGTGGACATCCATGGTGGAGAGTCGGAAGGGACGATGGGTACTGTCAGAGCGGTGGTATCAAGCAATGGAATGTCGTCTTCTGTGAACAAACGCGGTGTAAGACAACTGTAGAGTGTGTGATCTCTTACTGTCAGTGTCTTTGAGTGACGATTAGTGACGCGCGCAATGTTGTTGGAGTAGACGGTATCGGCGTGTGGTGTGGTGGAAGAGTGAAGGAACGCGTCCAACGCGTCGGCAGGCACACCCCGCCATGATCGGGGCGGCGAGTCCGAGCGATGTCATCGTGCGGACATCTGGAGCTAACCCCCACCCCAACTCTACTCCAACACTCCAACCAGACCTCCAACATTGCATTGTATATACTTCAGCTTCAAGTTTCCCCGGATTATTTGCCTTGTAGTCTCACCAATTCCTCACACAAGCACGAACCATGGCGTCCCTCCTCAAAAAGTCCCTAAAGCTCGCGCTCATCCAACTCGCCTCAGGCGCCGATAAGACCGCAAACCTCACTTCAGCGCGCCAAAAGGTGCTCGATGCCTCGAAAGCTGGCGCAAAGCTCGTAGTCCTGCCCGAATGCTTCAATTCGCCCTACGGAACAAAGTACTTCGATAAGTACGCCGAGACGCTCCTCCCATCCCCGCCATCGGAGTCGCAATCGCAGACGTTCCACGCATTGAGCAAACTGGCGAAAGAGGCGGGCGTATACCTTGTTGGAGGAAGCATACCGGAGAGAGATGATAAGGATACGAAGAAGCTGTACAACACAAGTTTGACATTTGCGCCTAGTGGAGAGCTACTTGCCACTCATCGCAAGGTGCACTTGTTCGACATCGATATCCCAGGGAAGATCAAGTTCAAGGAGAGCGAGGTGCTGTCGCCAGGCAATAAGATCACACTAGTCGACCTCCCCGAATACGGAAAGATTGCGATAGCCATCTGCTACGACATACGGTTCCCCGAGCTCGCCATGATCGCGGCGAGAAAAGGCGCGTTCCTGCTATTATACCCTGGCGCATTCAATCTCACGACCGGCGCGTTACATTGGGAGTTGTTGGCGAGGGCTCGGGCGACGGACAACCAGGTCTACGTTGGACTGTGTAGTCCAGCAAGAGACATGGAGGCTGAATACAACGCGTGGGGACACAGCATGGTCGTTGACCCCAATGCGGTAGTGCTAGAGCAGCTAGACGAGAAGGAGGGTGTGCTCATTCGGGAATTGGAGGCGGGCAAGATTGAGGAGACCAGGAAGGGAGTGCCACTGTATGGACAAAGGCGATTTGACGTATACCCTGACGTCAGCGAAGGTGGTCGATTCAAGGAGTAGATAGAGCAATGATATCAAATATGACTGCAGAAGAGAG